ATATACCTACGTGTGGATCCTACCTACTTCGCAGCCGGCACACACCTGTACACGTCGCGCTAACACATTTGGTCTTGCAAGATCGCGTGCGTACGTGTCCGTTGCGTGAGCCTCTGTGCATCGCGCACACACGGGCGAAAACGGTTACGGAAAAACGACCCGTTCCGGAGAATTGGACCGTACGAGAACATTCCGCGAAATTGGGACACTTCTGGTTTAGAAGAAAAGTTAGGAAATTAGGAAAACCGAGGAGGACACCAGTGATTCGGGGTGATTCAAGAAACGGCCTGGACAATCGAGGATCCAAAGATACCCTTCTCTTTCCTGGGTTCCTATAGTTTGAACGTTATACCCTCGCGAACAAACTCGGCTTTCGCCAGGGGAAAAGGTGATGCAAGGGGCAGACACATCCTACCACTTGATCTCGGAGGTACTGAAATTTATGCCAAATTAACATTCGGTTTAACATGTATTTCTGTATTTGAAATAAATTCATCAAGCTGTAGAAGATCCTCACCCCTACATTGTTTTTTCCCCCAGCGGAAACTGAGATTGCTCGCAAGTGTACCTCGATGAGACCGCAACAAAGTTCGGTCTATTTTCCACTTTATAATTCCTGGAACGGATGGATCGACTTAGACACGGATTTTATGAACGTCGCCTGCTATTTTTGAGACGGAACCTCGACGAAAAAGTTCACGGTTAATCGATAAACTTGCATCTGTACCTAGAGCGAAGGTGTCAAGGCCCTGCACAAGTCGGTTTATTGCCGCGAAAGTTTCGCGTTATCGTCGACGTCCAGGGGCTTACTCGTTCGTCCTCGATAGCGATCAAACGCGTCGTAAACCTGCGAACCACGGTCGCTCTTGGGTATTATCCTTCGGAGCCCGGTTTTCCTACGAGTTTCCTACAGGTACCACGCGGCGCCCAAAGTGGTCCAGAATCAAAATTTAGCTCTAACAATCGAAAAGTTTAAAACTTATACATTTTATTTAAATAGAATCAGACAAATTAAAAGGTTTCTATGAATTTTAGAGATCCACTTCGATGACATCATTCTTAACATGTTCACAAAAGTCTGAATTATTATGGAATTTTGTTTTTTTTTTTCTAGTTTTGATTGAGATCGATGACAGGAAGAAGGAAGAATAATGACAATGCATGAAACAGATCTTCCATGGTTAATAATAAGTTGATGTATGTTTTGTGAAAGATAAAAGAAATTTCTTTTTGATGTTAAATTTTGACTCTAAACCCTTGACTTTCCCCCAAACGTTTTCTCGATACAAATATAATATACTTACATCGAGCAGACACGCAATTAAACTCCTGAGACGAATGTGTTATCGTTCGAGACGCAGACTTTGCGCAAATAAAATATTATTCAATGCGATATGACACCGTCGTGCTGTATATAATGCTTGCACAAATCCTGCGTTTTAACGCGAGACAGAGAATCGCGGAAAGAGATATATTACATGTATATGCGTATCGGTGCGCCGAATTGCACAGGTAAAAATCGAAGGGAGAAAGAAGCGTGCGAGGGGTCGACTTAAGATCGCCATCACCGATAGTCGAACACTCTCAATCATCGTTTGACGTGTCGCGTAATCGACTCGCGAGAGTACAGTGCCCGCGCACAGACGGTGGTGTAGCTTCTTTTTTTCCGCTTCGAAGGAGGGTTGTTTCCCCCGTCACGCATTTTAATACATCAAGCTTTTCAATTTTGCCACGGCACGGTATCGCGACGAGCTCTGCCCGTCGAAATGACGCTCCTGATATATCGCTTAGGTGGCCGGTTACGCGTTCATCAACGAGCGGAATCGATACACGCGTGCGTGCAGGCAGCGAACGGTTTCGCGTAGATGTTGGCGAACGAGCGCACAGCGGGGGGGATGGGTCGGCAGGCGGCTCCTGTTCCTGTCCGAGAGAAGGACGCTCGGGGACGCGCGAAAACACAATCAAGACCGGTGTACACGGCAAAAACACTAATTTAAACGGAACGAAGGAAATATGTAGTCGCATCCGCTGTGTATCAGGATGAATGGCGCTCGCACGGTTACTACGATTCACGATTTACCGTTTTGCGACTTTTTTCCCTGATCTCCTCCTCCTCTTCCTCTTCTCGTTCTCCTCTCGCCCCGTCCGTGTGTCTAACCGGCTGTCCGTCCGGCTCTCGACGCGACAGGGGACATCGTTCGTGTCGACTCTCTCGAACCACCGACCTAGAGTAGCACACGCCACGGACAGAGAGGGATGGACAGCGAGATTCAGAGAAGGACCGGAAGAAGCGATACCCACCCGAGCACGAGAGCCAGAGAGGGAAAAGGGATGGACGGTTACATAGAGTAGGAGGATCCGGTAGGTAAAGCCGTTATTGCCAAAAAGGATAATGCGAGGGAAGATTAAATTTTTTTTCGACCCGTCCTTTCAAGCTCAACCGACCGCGTGATCGCGCTTTGCTGCTTCTCGCGTTGTACATTGTGTACATTTTTGCGAGACGCGCGCCAATCGTCGATTCTATCCCTTTCCATCGTCATCATCGAGGTATTGAAGGGTCCCGTATCCCTTTTCTACAACCTTCTTTCCGTGTTTCGACATTTCGTCGACGCATCGACATTCTATGTTCGGACAACGGTTCTCGAACCTCTTTCGACTCTTACCATTCGCGATCGTAATACGAAAAGAAAGCTCCCGAGTAATTTCTAGGACCCGTTGTCTTCGTAGAGCCGGGGGTAGGCGTTGCGAATAGGATGGTACGCGGAGATTATCGGCAAACGATCGAAGAGTTAAAAGACAATTTATATTTAAATCCCGTTTCATTAAAGCTCTTAATCCGAAGGAAATCCGCCTCTCGCGGCAGAAGCGATCCTTTGCGGCGGCTAAATCTTTAATAATCCATCCTCGAGTGGCGCGCTTCTCGCCGGGGAGTATTTCTCGCGGACCTTATACGCGTGGAAGCGTCAGACGAGGCGAGCAAACGAACGACGGGAATCGTACTAAGACGTAGGCATATGTGAAACTTACGATCACCGGTAGGTTATTCTAATTTGTTGCGTCGCGACTTTTCGCGGTACAGAGTCCGTGGATGGTCCTTGGACGGGATATTTCGCTGTACACCGTTCGGCCCTGCTCGAAATATCAAAATCTACGTACCACCCCCCGCCTATTACGTTCGCCCGCATCAATTAGGCATTTTAATCGGAAAGGCCTCGCGCGCGCGCCACTACCGCGGAATAGTTGCGATATACTAGCGTATTACGATACACGAGCAGGCATGCCCGGAGAATTGGAACGTGGTTGCGTTAACATAATGGAATTCCGCGGAATGTTATACCCATTATACATAGCCGATTGCGTCATCAGACCGATATATACCCACGATAGAAAAATAATGCTCGGCCTCCGACCACCGGCTCGCTTCAATTTTCTAGATTGCTCGAGAAACGACGATACCTTCCCCGCGTATTTGCCGATCTCCGAACGCGCGCGCGCGGTCCGCGGGGCTAATCGACATAGACTGTTTCACGGCGAACGAATTAATTTATGCGACGGTAGTATCCGCGATACGCGTCAACGCGGACGCAGAGATTCCGTAGGCTACGCGTTTCCGAATGGCTTTCGAATTACAAGGAAAAAGGAGAAAAATATGGACTTGAAAAGATAGACTGCGCGCACGAGCGAAAACCTGTCCTCAACATTAGTAGTGATCGGATCTCTTTCTCTCTCGCACAGCTGAAGAATCACCAATGGGGTGTCCCCAGAAAAATATCCGATCACCACTGCACTCTCTTTCTCTAATATTAAGGATCAGGAAAAATCTGCCCAACGAAAAATTCTTTTTCGAAACGAAAGCGCGTTTTTTAATCGAGATGTCTGAGATAAACGTTCCGAAGCGAGGGAGAGATGACTGGATTCGCGTGAGCCAGCCGAAGGAATTCATCGAGCGCGTCGAAGGGCAGACAACACGAGAGAGGATTGCGAAACGAGGCGCGCGCGCGATCGCTCGCTCGGTAGCTGTTCGTTTAATAACTTGCGCCGGTGGCGGACGATAAATAATGCAGGAGACACCGTCGTCCCGATGTAATTAACGAGAACAGTCGATACCCGGTGTGTGTCACGTATGCGCGAACGAGCGCGTAGTCAATATTTGTCATTCGTTTTAACAAAAAGAACCGTTACAAAACGGTCGGATGCTCCCCGTCCAAATATTGACTATGCTCATTGACGTTCATTGATACTCTCAATTAGTGCACACCGTCGAAGCCGATCGCTGGGTAATTGGACCTCTCCAGCAAAGGCAGCATTGGGTCCGTACGGTCTTTCCGTTAGGACGGCGGGCTTTCGCGTAAAAACATTCCGTTCTCCTCCGTAATTGGGAGCGCAACAGCGACCGGTAGCTAGCCTACGATTTCTCGTGTCCTCCGGCGACCGCGAGTTTACCCGAAAAACCGACCCTCCAATTAGAACCGCGTCGCCTTCGCTCTTGTCTTTGCCGACTTCACAGACCATACCCACCCCTAGTGTGTTCCTCCGGTTATTTTCCGCGAGTTCGCAACAAAGTGCGTCGAGACGTTGACAAAGTTAATTACCCTCTTGTAACAGAGTTCGATCTATTCATCGATATTTTCCATGCTCTGTTCGGAGACGCCGATATTTAAAAAGGTGTCATTTTGTTCCGTGTTCCGTCTTGGAACAGGATTCTCTCTCCTACGACGCGACGATTTTATGTCATCGACACCAAGAGGTTTCCTGTTCCTGTATTTACGTTCGAACAGATACCGGGCGTTGATTGTATCCAACGTTTTATTTTCCTGGTTCATCGCACGGTCGACGGTACGCGATGACTACGCTCGACCGAACGATCGGTCCGGTCGATGATCGCGTCGAAACGTAGAAACATCGAAAAAAAAAAAAAAAAACAAAAAACAAAGAACACGAAAACATCGTATAGAACACGTAAGTATAGGAATTGTATAGGTGATGCAAGAGTCACTTACCCTTTCCTCCTCGCGAATCATCTCGGCGATGCCGGGCTTGATCTCCAGATCGTCTCCGGGATTCGGTTGTCCGGCAGCACCTTGTTGATGGTGTTGCTGCTGTTGTTGTTGCTGCTGTTGTTGCTGCTGTTGTTGTTGCTGTTGCTGCACGGTGAGCTGTTGGCCGTGACTGGTCAGGTGGTTGACGGAGGCGTGGGTACCGGAAGTCACGTGGCCGGGCACATGGTGAGCGGACACGGAGTGCGAGCTTTGCTGTCCCTGCGGGGGCGGCAGCGGGGGCGGTGGCAGGGGCAGCGATACCGGAAGTTCCTGAAGGTTGATCTGCGGCGTAACGGAGACGCTCGGGGTGCCGGGAGATCCGAGGGATCTCGGTGTCGAGCTGCTGGTCAGCATGCCGTGAATGTCGGGCACGATCACGCCCACTCCGCCGGAGTTCGGGTCGTGATCGTCGGGCAGGCTACCGGGCGCGACTCGATCGGGGCTGCTGCCCGGTGGCGATCTCTCGCCCGATATTCGACGTCTTTTCTTTCTGTGCATCGCTGCCGCGTTCGCTACCTCTTCCAGGCTAGGCCTAGAGGTCAGTTCCTGTTCGCTGTTTACGTCCGCCAAGCCACGGATCTTCAAACTTTCCGCGACCTTCAGCAGCGGACCGATCTGTTCCTGGGACACGTTGATCTCGCCCTTGTACATAAACTCGACGGCGGCCTTCAGTTCCGGCCATTTGATGTCCTTCATAATGACGATCGGATGCTGGCAGGGATTGTCGAAGAACAGAGCTTGGAAGTACGGGCTACAGGCGGACAGCACCATTTTGTGCGCCTTCACGCTGTGCCCGTCGCAGGCCAGTGTCACGTCCACGAAGCTTTCGCTCTGAAGCAGTTGATCGAACACGTTCGTCAGGTTCGTCTGATAGTTGTTCCACCTCAGGCAAAATTGCTGGGGCGGTGACCCAGCTCCGCTTTGTTGCGTCATGTTTTCGGGAGATTCCGCGTCTCGGTCAGTTCCGGTTCCTCTTCCGCTTCCGTTCTTCCTCTCCTTCTCTTCCTCCTCTTCGTTCTCCTTCTTTTCCTCCTCCACGTCCTCGCGGTCCTGGTTCTCCTTCAGCTCCGCCACCACCGCCACCTTCTCCGCCTCCTCCGCCTCCTCCACCTCCTCCTCCTTCACAGCGGCGGGCACCAGCCGGTACAACTTTTCGCTCCGTTTCCTCCGTTCGCTCCTTCCGCGATCGTAGGTATCTTCTCGCGGGGAACGTCGGCCCGTCGACGCCGCGACGCTTTACTGACCGTTCGCGAACGTATCTCAACAGCCAGGCCGCATCTGTAACACACACGTACACAGCCACGCGCGAACCTCCTCGAAGTAACGCGCGAACCACGCGTTTCTCCACGCGCCTCCTCCTCCGCCTCCTCCTCGTGGCAACGCGCGACCAGCCGTCAGACGTGCGCGACCTCGGGAACTATTCTCCCGAGGATGTCGCGGTCGAGCATCCTTTTCTCTCGGAACGTTTCACAATATCGTCCCTCTCGCTCTCCGTTTCTCCGATTGTCAGTCCTGTTCCGTTTTTCAGATCGCACCACCGATCTGTCCACTAACCCGTGATTTTCTCGCGGTTCGCGTCAATGTTCTCGCGCGTTCAGCCTCGAACGCATCGTGTATCCCTCGAATTCTCGCGGAATCGATCGGAGATCTCTACACCGCGTCGGTACACAAGCGCGGTGAACACACGCGCGCGCGCGCGCACGAGCGCGTCTTTCAAAAACTAGGGGGGGGGGGGGGGGGCGGGTTGTTCCCGCGCGCGCCACCGGAACCAAAACTCGTTTCTTTTGCGTTGTCACCTTCGTTCGACGTTCCCTCCCCCCGTATCACCCTCGCGCTCCTCTATGCCTGATCGCGTCTCTGTCCTGTCTGCGGCACACAGCTCTGGGCGGTCCAGAAATAAGAACTAACTAAACGTAGGGAATAATAATCAGGTGTCGAAGTTCGCGGCACCGAGCGTATCGAAAAAACACCATCGACACCATCCAACCACCAGAAGAAGCACCAATCGGCAGCACCGGCACGTGCGAGTTCGATATACCTCGAACGTTCGGGGGTGAGAGAGTGAGAAACAAGAATTTTTACCGCGTGAATATATCTACGCGCGATTATTGGGTAAGCGCGTGTAGGACGCGCGCGTTCGACAGACCGATGGGGCGAAGAACGACGCACGATCTGCACCCCGTGACGAGCGCGTCGCAACTGAGAGGCTCGGCCGCGGCGCGGCGACGGTTCGCTCGAGCAGCAGCAGTATAGAGAGGCCGTGAGGCGAGGCGGTCGAGCGCCGATATACCCGTGGCGGTTCGGAGCGGTGCCAGAGACGCGCGCGGGCCGACTCGGAGCGAGGGCAAAGGGGCGAGAGGTGACGCGGGACGTGGGACGTCGACGGTGTGGCGTTGGTGCGACGGAGAGGATCGCAGAGAAAGAGATCGGCCAAGGCGGACCGTGGGTGGGACAGAGAGATCCTAAATGAAACAGCAGCGAGTACGAGCGAGAACGACGACGAACCGGGTGGAACGAGGAACCCCGTGAAAGAGGAAACGAGAGGAGGGATCGCAAAGAGAACGAACACGGGCGCGGGTGGAGGAAGCGTACGTAGCTCGCGCGTCCTCGCGTTCCCCTCGCTCCGCCGTCGCATCGGCCAATCGGGAGGCTCACCTTCCGATCGGACGCGCCGACAGGCGCCGCCCCCCGAGACCGCCTCATACCGCCTCTCCTTCTTTCTCCCTCTCGTGATCGGCCTCTCGCTTCCTTCAACCGCGAAGAAGAGAATTCTCCCGCGGCAGATCGGAGAGGAGGCCCACCGATCGGCCTCCCAAAACTCCGACGCGCCCTCTCTCGCGGTTCTCTCCTATCCTACTCTTCTCTCCTCTCTACCCCTTTCTTCTAGTTCTACAAACGCGTTCTCCTCTTTCGCGAACAGCCGTAGCCATTTCGCGCGATCTCGTTTCCGCTCCTTTCGCGCGCGGTCGTTGCCGATCGCAATGTTGCCGTTGACGTACACAACTTGACTGGGACTGATCATCTAACCGTTGTCGTAGGGAAGGACCTGTTTTTCGGAAGGGGACTTGGGGCAATTGCTCTCTCTGGTTTTCCACCCCTCTATACCTATGACGAAGCTATGAATATATACCCTAGAATTGTTCTAGATCACTTGGAACCACGCGTAAACGCATGGCCAAATTGGAAACACGACCCATGGAGGATGTTGCATATGGGGTCCATATGCCCAAGTATACTTGGGAGCTGACGAGAAGCCCTCCAGTGAAATTCGTTCGTGACGAAGAGAGCGAAAGTGTTCCGTGGATGACGATCATTGAACGAAGGATACGAGAAAATGAGAAACCACGAAAATTATAACCGAACGTCTAGAGGATCGTAGGAACTTCTGTTGCAATTTGTCGTTCTCATGATTCGTCGAGCACACAACAGACACGAGTCGTTGATGGATAGAATTGTTACGTGCGATGAGAATCAGGTCATTTTGAATAATACATACGGAGGTTGTATCGGCGACTATAATCCGTTCGACTATCATACGCGCTACATCTTCAAGCCTAATTCATCCCTAACATTCGTAATTCGATGATTTTGGAAATAGAAAAGACTGTTCCTTTCCAGCTCGAAGGCTAAAGATTGGGGATTCATGTCGATCGCACGAAAAATTCGTTCTTCGGCTGAAATTCTCCGAACAAGTGACTTCAACGAGGTGACGGCGGTGACCTTCGAGTCGAGGAAGCTGGTTCCTCGCGGAGAACGACAATGTGGTTTTCACACGAGAAACTGTGATCGAACGGGTGTACGAAAAGTCATGGAACGATCAAAAGAATACCGGAAGCGACCGATTCCTCGTTCTCCGCGCTTCAACGACGGGGCTAATTGGATTCCGAGGAGAGGCGAAACGACGATTATTTAACGACAACGACGCTTCGCAGACTGCCGTTTTCTCGAGACAAGCAAGAATATTAACGATCGTATTTAGGGAGTCGTGCTTCCCGATAACGGAGTTACGGCTCGCCGGTAGAAAGGAGAGATGGCCGTCCTAATGAAATTAAGGGTACAAAGAGACTGTTCGCGTCTGTCCCTCCGACTCCGGCAGACACTCCTAAATGGCTATTAACGCGAATTTTGGGACTAGCTCGTCTCGCTCCTCTTCCTTTCCTCCGCGTGGTCTCCCGATCGCTTCGGCATCTGTCCCAGGTTGTCTTCCTCGCGAAACTCGACCAATACTTCCATTCAAGGGGTTCCCAACGAGATCTATTCTTCGGCTCGACTGATCGACACATTTTGGAAAGTAAAACGGATCGACGGACTACCAGATGAATCCAATCGATCGTAGGGTTCGGTTGCTCCAAGAAGTGTCGAGAATCGTCGCTCAGGGACAGACGCGATATTAGAACAGTAAAAGCGCGAATCAAGCGTGGCAATGGCAAACGACGAACGAGTCGTTGAACTTGTATTCGAATAACGACGCACGCGGGATTTCCGACGGAGGAATATTGCTCGGTTTTTACGGGTCGCGCCGCGTAAACGGGGATGCGAGATTGCGTCGCGATAAAAGCGCGTTATTCCGCTTGGTATCGGCGTCCATTCGCGGTGTGCCCCCGAAACGCGTTCGTCACTTGGCCCGTAAAGCTTTTCTTTTCACGTCGTGTAATCGAGATCGGAAGGTTCCAGAAACAAAAAAAAAATAGACGACTGGTTGAACATCGTCGCATCGACGCAAACAATACGAATCTACGATACCAGCGTATCGATAATCCTCTCCCGATGAACGGGCAAAAAATCGATCGTTGCAATAAGCACGGGAATATCCGCAGAGAACGAACCTATTTCTAGATTTCGAGAAACAGAAAAAGCAAACCGTATAGACGGGGGCGTTGGTACGCGATTCAGATTCGGAGGCAGTATCCGTTAAGCCGTGGATCATCGCAGCCTGGTTACGCAGGGGTGGCACCGGCTATAACGCTCGTATTTCTCATATCGTTGAAAGTTTCAGCCGTGCAACCGGCGAGCGAGCAGGACGCATTGTAAGGGTGTGCGCCGCGAGGCCAGCTCCGCGCTGAAAAGGGGGCCGTGGCCATAAATTTTACTACGTAATATTGTTTAACTGCAAACAGTATACTAACGCCCTACGTCCTGGGCGAAATGGAAAAATTTCGCCCTCGTCCGACGAGGCGAACCCCCGACACGCCGTTGTCGCAACCAGAAATCAAGGGAAACTCGGGCTGTTTCGAGTTCGTTTGCTCGTGAACAGGGACGAATCCCCGCGGAAAATTCGTCTCCAGACGCTGTTTCCGCGAACGTGCGTAATATTTCGGAAGATCGTCGCAAATCGACGGGGGAAGAGACTCGGGCGGGGGTTTCGGGTCGTCGACAGTACTTTCGCGTCGGCAACACGCACGCTCGGGGGGCCAGTTATGAAAAAATACGAGAGACGAGAAAAATGGACGGAAATGGCCGACCCAGGGCGCGCCGTGCCACGAAATAAAATCGTAAAGCATCGGGTGCGGAGAGGGATTTCTATGCTTTTTACCTCGCGATTTCTTCTGCTACCATCGCCCACAGGAAATCATTTCCGCGACCGTTTCCGAGTGTTTGCTCGACTTCTTTCCACCGATTAGAGTTTCCTTGCTCGATATCTATCGTTATGCGATCGGAATAGGTGAAGTGGAAAGTTTTATGAGGATCGTTTCTGGAACTACGTTGGACTCAGCGATCACCGAGAATGCGTATGAAAATTACAACTGGACGAAAAGTGGAATAATGAAAACAACGAAGAATTCGTGTATACTTTCGTTCCGCAGACAGAATCTTCGCGGGACCTTTCGCTTCCAATATGAACGACAGGAAAATGGTACCGCTGTTTGTCGATGGATACGACAACGAAAAATCGGCAGAGAACGTCTTGGGAGAAACCGATAACGCGTGTCGAGTTCCGCGGGGGTGGCACGAAATTAGTCATTTCCACGGTAATCGTTACCTGGTCTCGCTCTGCCCCCCCCCCCAGACCCTCTCTCCGTCATCCTCGGAATTACAGAGACGGCAGCAGCCTTGTACGTATTGTACAAGAACAATGAGCAAAGAGAAATATTGATGATGCTGCTGCCGTGTGGCTAAGCGCGCGAGCAAGTATTCGCGCGCGTATGCGTGTGTGTACGCGCGTGCAGCGTGAAAGGACCGTGCGTATACACCGAGCAGCAGAGACAAGAGAGGAAGAAAGAGGAACAGAACG